GTGCCAAACCCAGTTTCCCATGGAATAAATTTATTCAGGAAACTTTATAGTGAAAAGTCGAGACCTGATATTTCTCACACGACCAATAGTGGACATTTTACCTGTACATATTCAATTGATGTTGGGACTTATTTATTTATCTTATGTTCATATGCGATTAATTTATGGAATAGTGATATCAGATAGTCATCAGACGGGGAGTAATCTGTTACGCTTTTCCTCCATTTATATAGTTCGTTTGATTATATTCTTAATCTGTTTATGTGTTCCAGTCTAGGAGGATTATTCATCTTTAAACCTTATAAGAAGTTGTAAGAACTTTAAACATCGTATCATCGTTACCTTTCCCTTTCTTACACATATCTCGAACTGAATATTGCAAGGTCATTCCAGAACTGGAGAAGTACAAACATCATCTAGGACACAATTTGTGGCTAACCACAGAGTGAGTTACATTTATAACTTTGTATTCGATGCCTTCAAATTGTTTTTCACATATTTGAACTCTTTATCCGTGATATACTGGAAACTTCACCTTTATAACTGCAGACTTATTTCGCGTTCTATGGACTGTGCCATTGTCTATATTTGACATTCATACATAATAACATTAATTCAACACAATGTAAAATTGTATTTATTTTGTATTTTCAGCTTTTTACCATTTGTTTAGATTGGTTTGAGAATAAATTGTCAGCACCTGATAGTCTTATTGCTTGAGCCCAATCGTGGTTATACTTAGTGGTCAGGCCATTACAGAGACAGTTGTGGATATATGTTGATGAGACAACAACCCCACGACTTGAACAAAATATAACAGATAAGAATACAAGTAGATGTGTTGTATATATTAATAAGACAGCAATCCAACGATTTGATCAAAATATAATATACATGAATACAAGAAGACATTCATTGGGTATACGTGAAAGAGACAACAAACCAACGACGTGACCAACAATATTATAAATATGAATACAAGACGATTACAAAAAACTGTCGACCTCTCTGAATTGTGGGTTATATGTCAAGGAAAAAGCAACGCAACGAATTAAACAAACGTATTATAGATATGAATACAAGAAAATGTGGGGTATACGTCAATGAGACAGCAACCCAACGATTTGAATAAACATATTATAGATACGATTACAAAGAGATGTGGGTATACGTCAGTGAGACTAACAACCCAACGATTTAAACGACAAAATTATTAATATGAATACAAGAAGATGTGGGGTTACACGTCAATAAGACAACAACCCAATAACTTGAATAGCAATATCATAGAACCAATAACAAGGAGATGTTAGAATATACGTCAATGAGATAGCAACCCAACGACAAAAATATCATAGATACGAATTCAACGAGATATGGGGTATTCGTCAGTGACACAGCTATCTAACGACTTGAAAAAAAAGTATAGATGTGAATGTACACAGTTTAGGTGTTATACGTCAATAAGACAGCAACCCAACGACTTGAACATGATTATTATAGATGTGAATACAAAGAGTTGTGGGGTATACGTCAATGAAACAGCAACCCAACGACTTTAACACAAATATTATAAATACGAATTTAAGGAGATTTTAGGGTATACGTCAAAGAGACATTAACCCAACGACAAGAACAAAAAAATCATAGAAACGAATACAAGGAGGTGTTTGGATATACATTGTACGTCAATGAGACAGCAACCAAACGATTTGAACAAAATATAATAGATACGAATACAAATAAATAAATAAATTTAACCATAATAGCACACCAATGTATGATGGTCTTAATTAGGGAGGGGCTCCTACATTTCTGTATTACTTTTAACTGTAAAGGTCATTTACTCTATTCTTTATATTTGTTGCCCATTTTCCCCATCATTCCCCTTTTTATAGATTTGGCTGATTGTGATCTATTCTGTAAACTATGGGCCCCATTCAGACCCTCATCTTTATATATATATATAAAAAAACACACATCTTAAACTTATACTAATTTAATACTAGACAGAAAAATAAAGATTTATGAAATTAAGAAAAAGAAATCAAACCAATAATTTAAGGGGGTCAGTTTATTGCCTATATTAATTCTTCAGACGAAATATGATCAAATATCATCTCTATTCGTTTACGCAAAGATTTATATCCCCTGTCTTAAAATATTTATACATTTAGCCAACAAAAATAGCACCAAAATACGGTAAAGAAACCAGATCAATCACTCGTGTGTGCATAAAGTACTATCAATATTAAATCATGCAAGAATTATGTCCCCTGACTTAAACTAGTTATAATAAAATCATGTGACAATTTACCTTCCTTTTCTAAAGTATTTCCTATGTATAAGGCTTAATAAGGTACGTAATTTATTTCAATATTTCTCGGTATAATACAGTCACAATCCACACACAACCAACTCACAAACACATAAAACTTACTTTTAAACATGTTAGTTATGTATAGTTTAATTTGTTTACGTTTTCCCATTTAAATCAACTTTTGTTTTGTACACGATCTTCTTCTGCATATGTAAGAGCATTTTGAATGTTTTACTAAATTTACCAATGTTTGTTTGACCTATTTATTATTGCCTTCCTCGTCTTATTTTTGTTTTCCTTTCAATTTTATATATTTTTTTCTATTTATTTAGGAAATTAGGAGTTGTGGTTACTAGTATGATTGTCAATTAGGTAAATAGTTTGAGCCAATTTAATCACGGTAGTGTCTCTGAAAAAAAATTCTATATACCTTTATAACAAGGTATATAGGGAAAACAAGTGTGTAGGGTCCGGCTTGGTCGTGTTTTTCTTCTAGTGATTTGATCGGGGTTTTTTTCGAGTGTGACCCAGTTTTTTGAGTGAATATGATCTAAAACGTTAACAAACAGACTTCTTTTCTGGTGAGACGTTATACAGTTGATTGAACGAGATATATACAAGTTTAGTTAGTATTTGTGATAAAAATGTATTATCAACCATACATTAATTGTGTCATGAAATTTTAAGTTCACCTTAACATGCTAATTCCAAAATATAAAAGAAATCCCTTTCTATACACATACAAATTTTAATGTCGCAAAAGCATACATAGATAAGAATCTATATATCCTTAGATATACAAAAATAACAAATTCATAGCAATGTCCGGGTTTTTTTTCCTCGAGAAGTCCGGATTTTATCGGTTAGCGTTCAGGTTTTTATGGAGTTAATTAACAAAGTTCATATGTGTTAAAATATTGTCCTTATAAGAACTAATTATCCTTCCGGAACACATGGCAGGTTCACAAACGACTTTTTTGGGGGGTGGAGGAGGTAAATTTTAATAAAATTGTAACCCACAAAATAGTGGAGTTTTGAAAAGAAATGATGATATACATGACTTTCAAATTTGTGCACTTCATCATAAATAACCTATGGCTCACCCTTATTTTCTATGGACAAAGTTTGCTGAACCAAAAGGGTTGTCATGGGTACAGAAAAGTTGACATCCATACGGCAGTAAAACATTACTATATCTTCCTATTTTCGTACAGAAACCGTTATCCCTCATCCACTTTTCCTCGTATGTGACATCAGACTCATTGTTGACATCCATACGGCAGTAAAACATTACTATATCTTCCTATTGTCGTACAGAAACCGTTATCCCTCATCCACTTTTCCTCGTATGTGACATCAGACTTATTGATGACATTCATACGGCAGTAAAACATTACAATATCTTCCTATTGTTGTACAGAAACCATTATCTCGCATCCACTTTTCCTCGTATGTGACATCAGACTTTAACCATACGGCAGTAAAACATTACAATATGTTCCTATTGTCGTACAGAAACCGTTATCCCGCATCCACTTTTCCTCGTATTTGACATCAGACTTATTGTTGTGTGTTTGTTTATTCTACATTGCCTAGAGATATAGGGGGAGGGTTGAGATCTCACAAAACATGCTGAACCCCGCCTCATTTTTGCGCCTGTCCCAAGTCAGGAGCCTCTGGCCTTTGTTAGTCTTGTATGACTTTTATTTTGGTTCATTTATATGTTTCGGAGTTTAGTGTGACTTTCATTTTCGCTGAACTAGTACACATTTTTGTTTAGGGGCCAGCTAAAGCCGGGTGCGAGATTACTCGCTGTGTTGAAGACCCATTAGTGGCCTTGGACTGTTTTCTGCTTTTTGGTCGGGTTGTTGTCTCTTTGACACATCCTTGGCTTTCAAATATTCGGCTTTCAGCGTTCCTGATGAAGGTAAATCCAGAAAAGCGCTTCGGACGCATAAAATCTATAACGTGTTGTTTTCATTTTTTGACACATTCCCCGTTTCCATTCTCAATTTTATCACCGAATTTGGGGTCCAAAATTAATCTTTGTTTGATTTCATCAAAAATTGAATTATTGGTTTTCTTTGATGTGCCCAATCTAACAGTGTTTTAGATTTTAGATTTTGGCCCCGTTTTTCAAATTGGTCCATATTAAGTTCCAAAGTATCCAAAATTAAACTAAGTTTGATTTTAACAAAAAAAATGAATTATTAGGGTTTTTTGATATGCTTAAACTAAGCGTATGATTAGATTTTTGATTTTGGGCACAGTTTTTAAGTTGGTTCAAATTGTGGTCCAAAATTAAACTTTCTTTGATTTTAACAAAAATTGAATGTGGGGTTCTTTTATATTCTGAATTGAAGTGTGTTATTAGACTTTGGATTTTGGGTCCTGTTATCAAATTGGTCCACATTGAGGTCCAAAGGGTCCAAAATTAAACTTTGTTGGATTTCTTCAAAAATTGAATTCTTGGGGTTATTTGCTATGCTGATTCCAATCGTTTATTTAAAATTTGGATATTGGACCATATCTAATAAATGTACAATTTTTAATTATTTAAATACTTAAACTTAGAGTCATTGTTAAAAATAGATACAGCATCATATCTAATTTTAGAGAAGAAATTATGTATTGATATAGTTTGAAATTTACTGTTCATTATTAGATATTTTAAATAATAAGTCATTCGGGTCGGCGAGTCCCGGATCAATCGGCGGTTTTTTTTCACTGAGAGAAGAATCTGTTTGGAAATCAATTTTTTGATAGTCTATTGAGGTATTCATTTATAAAATTGATTGCACGTCTTACTTAGACAAATATTCAGTATAGTATTGCTATTTTTTGTAAGTTTTTTTATTACATTAGTCGTAAAAACTTCGATTTTTTTTCATGTTTGTATTCCGTGAGTACAAACAAAATGGCGGACTCCGACTGTTTTGAATCTGTTGAAGAAAGCTCTTCAGTAGGCAGAGGTTATGAGTCTGACTTCTCCACAAGAGGTATGTCTGATAATTCTATAGAAAGGGAAAGCAAAGAACGCAAATTTGCAACCCCTAGTCCAAATAAAAGTTACTCACACGCAATCCAAACCCCAGCCACAGTCCGATATAGACCATTACGCAATGCCCCTCGACCCTCTGTCCCCGACAACCAGCATATCATTATTAGTGCTAGAGGTGTTCGCCTAGCAGAAGAAAATCCCATCAAAATTCAAAAAAATATTTCAAAGGAGTATGGAATAGTTAAAAATATTAGACCAATAAGATCTGGTAACATTATTGTACACTGTATGGATGGTATGCAACTAAAACAACTGATGAAAGCGACTCAGCTAGGAGAATGGCAAGTCAAGTGCTCTAAACCACAAAGTCTTCTGAGCTCACAAGGATGCATATATAATGTACCTCAGGAATATTCTGAGGAAGACATTAAATATGCATTAAATGAATATGGGGTCACAAAAGCCACAAGGCTTACATATTATGACAAACAACAAGCCAAAAGAGTACCCTCTAGAACTATAAAATTGTTCTTTAGCATACCACAAATGCCAACATCTGTATGCATTGGGTTTCTAAAGTACAGAGTTAAACTTTTTGTACCCAAGCCACTCCAATGCTATAAATGCCAACAGTTTGGCCATGTTGCTACAAATTGTAAAAGGGATAAAGCATGTGTAAAGTGTAGTTTAAGACATGAAGGCCAGTGTAATACTGATACAGCAGTGTGTGTAAACTGCAAAGGTCCTCATCAGGCAAACTCCAAAGATTGTCCTAAAAGAGTAGAAAAACAAAAAGCTCTCAAAAAGAGCAAGGAATTAAAAATATCAGTCGGTGAAGCCACCAAAATTGTAAAAGGTGAAGACACTAAGACCTTTGTTGCTGAGAAAGAATTAAATATGCAACATATCAGTAAAACAAAAACCCACAAAAAACCTATATTGGGAGAAGTAAATACTACTGTTTCCCAAATGGTTTCAATAATGACTATTGCAATAACTCATATCATTAATGCTCCAAAAGAGAGAATTACAGTTGAGAATGTAGCAAAGTACATCAGTGAAGTAGCCAAAACTCTAAACTTGTGTAATGTTGACACAGATCAAATGAATCATTATATTGAGAAAAGCCAGTTTATCAGTATATAAAATTCAAAATAATCAATACATATATATATATATACTAAATAAGTATTAACTTGAAGACCATCATTACTAACATCATGTATTTTATAATTATATTATTTACAATAATGACTAGTTCATTTGTTATACATCAGTGGAATTGCCATAGCTTTCATAGCAATGGTCCAGAATATCTATGGAATTTATCAAATTCATCTACTTATCCAGATGTATTATGCCTACAAGAAACTTGGTTTAAAAATGAAAATGATCTAATTGAAATTAACGGTTACACAGTTGCAGATTTCTCAGTTAGAGATGGCATAAAGGGGGGTGGCACAGCTATATATGTCAAAGTAGACATCCCATACTCTAAGAAAGTAATAACTTCAAAATTTGAAACTTCTGTTGCTCAAATATTAGTAAACAGTGATATGGTCACCATTATTAGCCTATATGATGCATCAACAGACACAAAAGAAGATGATTATATAAATCTCTTGAATCAAATTGAAGGTAAATTTATTATCTGTGGTGACTTTAATGCTCATCATTATCTATGGGGTAGTAATAAAACTGACACTAAAGGTAACTCATTGCATAATGCTATTAGTACCAATAATATTATAGTTTTAAATGATGGATCAGGTACTAGACAAAACCCCTCCGATCTACAATTGTCATGTATTGATATATCAATGTCTAGTGTACAGCTAGCACACCAAATAACGTGGACAGTAGATAATAAATCCTTATATGGTAGTGACCATTTTGTAATACAATTATCATTGAATCAAACCTCATCGTGTTCAAACAGCGAACACGAGTTGATTTGGAACTATAAAAAAGCTAATTGGGATGGGTTCGCCAGCTCATGTCATAATCAACTTAGTGAGAGCATGGTTACCGATAATATTAATGAATCATGTACACATCTCACTAACACTATCATTAAAATTGCTGGTGAGCACATCCCTTCCAAGAAAAGGTGGAAAAATAATAAACCAGAGGTAGCCTGGTGGAATGAAAACTGTACAAGGGTGGTAAAAGAACGCAATAAAGCTCGTAACAAGGCCAGACATACGGGGGTGGACATGATTATTTATTATACAAAGAAAAAGAAAAGGAATGTAGAAATACTATTAAATTAACACAGCAACAATATTGGGAAAACTTCTGCAGTGGATTGAATAATAATAATAATATAGGGCAAGTATGGAATACAATTAAGAGAATGATGGGTAAAACAATTAATTCTCTAATTATGCCAACTTTGATTTACAAAAATAAAATATATGAATCTACTAAAGAAAAGGCTAATATATTAGCTGAAGCATTTGCCAATGTAAGCAGTTCAAGTAACTATTCAGAAGCATTTATATCACATAAAGAACATATTGGGTCTATAGAAGCTGAAAAGTTGAAAGAATATTTTTCTGAAAACTCCCAAAGTTATAATGAACCATTTACCCTTAATGAATTACAGGATGCTATTGCTGATACATCAGATACATCTCCTGGTAAAGATAAGGTTACCTATAGTATGTTTAAAAGCTTTAGTGATAAATCACTTGGTGTACTTCTTTTATTATATAACAGAATTTGGTTCTCACAAGATCTTCCTCTGTCTTGGAAACATTCAATAATAATTCCAAGCTTTAAAAAGGGGAAAGATTCAAGTGACCCACATGCATATAGACCAATAGCTTTAACATCTAATTTTGTAAAAATTATGGAAAAGATGATTAATAACAGACTGAGGTGGTACCTTGAGAAAAATCAAATTTACTCACCTTATCAGAGTGGATTTCGTCAAAATAGAAGTACGATGGAACAAATAATTAGACTTGATAACGATATACAAAAATCATTTTTAAAGAAAGAATATTTAGTTGGAGTATTTATTGACTTCCAGAAAGCATTTGATATGATATGGAAGTTTGGACTTCTAAACAAAATGGTTAAAATTGGGATAAAGGGTAACATGCTCGGTTGGGTTAATTGTGTTCTCACTAACAGAACAATACAGGTCAAAATAAATAACACTCTTTCTGATACTCTCACGATCCAAAATGGTACCCCTCAAGGAAGTTGCATCAGCCCGACATTATTCAATATTATGGTAAACGATCTCCCCTCATGTATTAATAATTGTTCTATTTCCCAATTTGCAGACGATAGTGCTATATGGTTGTGTGGTAAAAATATTGGTTATATTCAAAGGAGAATACAGAAAGATCTTGACAATATCAAAACATGGTGTGATAAATGGGGATTTCTCATTTCCCCCTCTAAAACTGTAGCTATTGTGTTTAGTAGAAAGAAAAAGTCTGAGAAGTTATTATTAACGTTAGGTAACAGTTTATTACAAGTAGTCAATGAGGTGAAATTTTTAGGAATAATTATTGATAGTAAATTGACTTGGTTAAAACGTATACAATACATAGAGGCAAAATGCAGTAAAGTCTTAAATTGCATGAAACTTCTTACAGGTAATAAGTGGGGAGCAAACAGCCATTCTCTTAGAAACATATATATTGCACTTATAAGATCTAAAATAGACTACGGTTGTGAAGTATATAATTCCGCCTCACATTCCGTAAAGAAAATACTGGACCGGGTGCAAAGTCAAGCACTTCGAATTTGTACCGGTGCATATAAAAATGTAGCCACAAGTGGACTGCAAGTAGAAATGGGTGACCCACCCTACGAAGAACGTAGGAAGTGTCTTATTACAAAATCTTTCTTGAACATATCTAGTCATGAAGATAACCATCCAACTAAGGAAAGTTTAGCAAAAAAGGCAACATTTCTTTGCTACTCCAGGGAAATAAAACAGAATAAAAAACCATAGTTTATTATTTCAAAAGATATGATTAATCAACATGATATAGATATTAACCAAATATATAAATACAAACAATTCCCAACACCCCCTTGGCATTTGACTAAACCCCGTGTATGTACACAACTCACAAATCTCATCTCGAAAAAGGACAATCCACACTTAATTCGAAGTGAAAGTAACTTCATGATTGATACGCAGTATCGCCAGTTTTTAAAAAATATATACGGACGGATCTAAAGATCCAAATTCTAATAAAACCTCATGTGCATTTGCAATACCTGAAATGGGAATAAAAAAAGGTTTCAAACTGCCTAAGAATATGTCAATTTTCACTTGTGAGCTTATAGCAATATTTCTGTTTCTTATATGGTTAGAAGAATTCAAACCAAATAATGTCATTGTGTTTGTCGACTCTTTATCAGCTCTACAAGCCTTAAAGAGTAATTTATTTAAGGTAAAAAATTATTTATTGTACGATATCATATTTTTATACAACCAGTTAGTCAAACTAGGTAGCAACATAATATTTGAGTGGATCCCAAGCCACGTCGGAATTTTAGGAAATGAAATTGCAGACCAGACTGCCAAAGTGGCTCTTAATAAAGGTACAATAGATTGTCATATTCCCCTATATAAGGAAGACATCAAATGTTTAACAAAAAACATTTTAAAACAAATTTGGCAAAAACAGTGGTCAGACAACCCAAAGGGAAGATTACTACACTCCTTCCAAAATAATGTATCTTTTAAGATTACTATTCCACAAATGAATAGAGAAAATGAACGAATAATATTCAGATTAAGATCTGGCTCTATAAATGTCAATAAATATCTTCACAAAATAGGGAAAAGCCCGAGTGAAATTTGTGAAAACTGCAAAGTCACAGACGATGTTGTACACTTTCTATTAGTCTGCTCAAAATATGATGTGCAACGAAAACAGATGTTTGATACGCTTAAAAAAATGGAGTCATAGATCTCTCATTGAAACACCTTCTATCCGGATACACACACACTTTTAGTCCCGTGCATAACTATCTACGGGAAACTAATATACTTATAAGAAAATAGGAAGACTCTCAACTATAAGTGTCATTTAGCTTTAGTTTAGATATTATAAAATAAATAATTATGTATTTGGAACCAGTGTATATGAACTATTTCTCAGATGGTCCCTCAAGTTAAATTATTTCATCAAGTTATACAACCAGCAAGATTAAAAATAAAAGAAAAACTCACCAGAATATAAAATCATTTCCTTTTTTAATATCCATAGAATAATGATAAGTAAGTCACAAGTGCAATGCACACTTCACCTTTGTGTCAGTCCATTGAGCGTAATCAAACAGACTTTTTTCTACCTGTGTCATACATCAGTAAATCAATCACCTTTCAAACACCAGTACTAATTGACCATGAAATGCACGCAATTAATTTTAACAAGTATCAACATTCAATTTAAACACTCTGATCTATTGAAGATTAGTACACTAGAAAAGTTAACATTATATATTAAGGGAAAATACAACATCACCTTAAGATTCTCTATAATGGACAATTAGAAATTAAGAAATAAAAACAACAAACACAACACACTGTGCTCATATATTTAACAATAGAAACATTTGCTACAGGCTTCTTTTTTTTTTATGAAAGTGCCACTAACATTTATCTTAATGTTAAAAGATTAAAGGAAAAGCAAGAACAAAGGAAAATACAATTTGTCTTTTCAGATCTTCACAAACTGACAATTATAGTCATATTATTAGAAAATAAGAAAAACAAACAAACACAATCATTAAGCTCATATATTTTTTAGAATAGAAACAAGTGCTAAATCCTTTTCTATGACAATAAAATGAAAAGAACTAAAATCTGTACTAGAGGATGCATATGTCAGTTAGACAAACACACACAGATTATTGTATATATATATGCACATCCCAGCACTTCTGTTTCGCTGACATTCTCTGTACTTACAACAAATTCAAACAATTGCATTGTTTTAATAATATACTGGTATTATTTTTTTTCATATTTTTCTATTTTTACTCCATTTATATATTACATATATATATATATATATATATATATATATATATATGTATGTCTGCCTATGTGTAGTGACAACTGTAAATTATACCTTGTCCATCGGATTTCTTATGATTAAGAAATG